CTATAATCCTGTGCCATCCCACCTTTTAGCTGCTTTTCAAATGTCCTGGTTTCTCTTCCCACTTCCCTTTTTGTCTTCAGCTCTTCAGTTGCTGCAAATAGAGCTTAGAGTGCAAAAGTAGTTTGCACTCTATTAACTTCAGCAGACAAGAGAGGAGCGGGTGGGTAATAATAATAAAATAAAAACTATAAATAAAGAATAATACAAATTATGGATCATCATCATCATCATTATCTTGCCCTTCCTAGGAGGCAAAGGAAACTGCTGCCCCCTCTCCTAGCTTGACTTTTCTTCCTCATTCCTTAATTTTACCATCATGACCACATTGGGATGTTGCTTGGTCATACATGTCCCATTTTCATCTGTCGGACAGTATGGAAGGAGCAGAAGGAGGAGGACAAAAAGATGGTCTTCATGGTTTTAAGCTCCAGACAATCGATTTCACTCGTATATTAGAAGGAATGTCTTGATGAAGTTGTGCAGTCTCTTTCTCTGGAGGTCTCCAAAAAGTGTCTGGGTGACTACTTACTGAGGATGCTCTGGCTCAGTGGTCCCCAAAGTTGGCAGTAGTACCCCCCGGGGGCATTGGAAAGCTGCAGGGGACACTGAGGGGGAAAAGAGCAGCAGGGGGACGCTGAGGGGGGGGGGAAGGAGGTGGCAGGGAATTGTAGGGATGGGAGATGCAACTAGGGTTGCCATTGCTGCTGAAAAACCATGAAAATCTCTGAAGTCTTTGAAAAGCAGCATGTCTTGGATTCCTGAAGGCAAGAGTGAAACCTCAGGGAAAAACTCCTCCAGATCCCAGTGTTGAGGCTCAGGATGATACTGCGCAGGCATGCCAGGCCCAGAGTCCAGAGCCAGGAAGGGAAAGATAGCAAGCAGAGTCTTGGAGTAGCAAAGAGGCTTTCTTGTGTCGACAATGCTGCATGCATAGTAGAACTTTTTGCTTGCTTGTGACTGGAGCTGCCCTTCCCTCCAGCTCCCTCCCCCGTATAGAAATGCTTGTGTATGTGTGTTTGAAAAAGGGGGAGACCCGTTCTTAAAGCCCAGAGTCCCTTTTCCCTCATAATTGCATGCTAATGGGCTGGAACTCCACTTTCCTCCATTTCCCTCCCCCATAGAAATGTGTACGTGTGTTTGGGAAAAAGGGGAGCTCTGGAAAACAAACAGTGAAGTCCAGGAAATAAAATTCATAAATAAGTCTATTAGCAACATAATGAGAAACCTCCTTTCTTTTTCTCTCCTGTGTGAAAATACCTGCCTCCTCCTTTGGCAGATAACAATGAATTTCTCAAGAAGTCTCTGTGTTGTTGCATCTGAAAAAAACTTATAAATGCTGCTTAAAACACATTAAATGCAGTCCCATTTTTTAAAAAAAGTTTGACTTTTGTTGGAGGCAAAGATCTCAAAAAGTTAAGTCTCAGCCCTTTGTTCTCTCTTGTTTAGGATTCCCCTGTTGTGTCTAAAATGCAGTATCCTGAAATCTGGAAAGCATATTCAGTAGTAGCTGTATAGGCCATACTGAAAACAATAACATCCATAATCCACAAAACAGTGATACCTTTCTCCTGTTTGATTTTTAACACCTTTGCCCAGTGAAGAAGCCACAGTTAAGCTTCAAAAGCTTGCTTGATCTATTTTGTGCATTTTGGCTGGCCAATAAAAGTAT